AATGCACATTGTGTCTCTGCAGCCCCATGCAGCTTGGAATTGGCAGCTCAAAACTTCCAGTTGGGGTGGCTCTAATGTGTATTCAAAATAAAGTGTGAAAATAATTGTTCCTATGGAAATGAAATATAAATAAAAGTAGGAGCTGAGACCATATAAGATAATGCTGGAGCAAATTCTGTTTCCTGCTTATTGAAATGCACAAGATAAGCCTCAACAGGAGAGAAGCTGCTGGGTGCAGCTGTTGTATATAATCCTGCTTCCTTCAGACCTGTAAAACCAGCAGTCTCCAAAGATCTCTCTGCTCCAGCAACACGAGTTTTATGATTCAGGGGCATGGTACATATGGTTTAGCATACACACCCCAATTTTCCATGCAACCTCCCCTGTTAGGATTACTAATACTTGTGGCATGAGTAGTTTGTACAGCAGCTGTGCAAGGGTTATGCAAGCATTTATGTACACATTGGAATAAAGGCACAAAATAATGGTTCTTTTGAGGTGTTACTCTGCACCTGCCTGGAGAGGAAAAGTAAAGCCATCCAAAATCATCCCATTGCATTCACAGGTTGGGATCAGTTTTTTTGTTCCCTTTTTAAAAAATGAATATGTTTTACGTGCTTTTGTTCAGTATGAAAAAATAGCAAACATCCCTGCCTTTAGTGAATGCAAACAGCAGAAAACTGAAAAAGGCATAAATATATGTAAATAAGAAGAATCCTGAATGCCTGTAGGAGCAAAGATCACCATGTATTGTAAGAAAATGTAACAGCTAAGCAGATTTTCAGAGGCACATTTCCAAGGTGCTGCAGCACAACTCAAATCCGCTCCCAGCAGTGACGTCCGAGCTCGTGCTCAGCTTAGCTTTTCACAAATACAAGCCTGAGATCTCAGACGTTCAGATTACAACGTTACCAACCAAGGAAATACCTGGGCTTGTGCCAAAAGCGTCAACCAAATCAAGTGTGCACGCAATAATTTAATAGTGCAAAATTAAATTCCGTTCTCTTCGAGCTGCTTTGGCAATACTGGAGTCTACATTAAACAATACTCCCATGCCTGTATCTATGCTGCAGAAATAGATTAGTTACATAAAGTTTAAAGAGCTTATAGAAGTACACTGGTGTATGTATGCATGCTTATATATATATAAACATATACAGAAAATACAGCACATGGCAGTATTCAAATTGTAGATAAATGTGTATACTGCAAAAATTTCAGTAACATGAAGTAATTTCTAATGTTCTCTGAAGTAAATAGCAATAAAAGGATCCCCGTGGTGATCCAGTTTTAGGAAGTGAAGGGCTGAACTGTGAAGGACTGAACTATGTCCATCTTTCCCAGCTGATGAACATTAAATTCAGTGCCATAGCCCCATTTCATAAATCCCAAAATTCTATTTTAGCTTTCACTGGCATCCTCAGAAGCCATAATGCTTTTTTCACAGCCCAAGACACAGATTTCATTTCTGACTCTCCTCTGATCAGTAGCATTGAGAATCAACACTTAATTTTTATAACGTGATCAGCATTGTCCAACAGAGCACAGCTCAACCCAAATCTGTTCAAATTCCTGGATTAGAGCTAATATAATGGCTTTATCCATAATGTGATTAACTCCATGTTGGTGAATATGTTCTCAGAAATAATGCTGGAGAGATGATTAGAAACCTTTGATAAGAATGATCCAACACAACGTAAAAAAATACGTGAGCTAATTATGCATTATTATACAAATAATAGTGCTATTATTTTTGCTGTATAAATGTTTTTCATGCAAAGGGCATAGACAAGCAGTTCAAAGTTCCCCAAACACATGGTAGTTTAGTGGGGCTATTTGGAAGGAGAAAAAAGTTTGCTATAATTTAGGAGTTGCACTTTGTTCAAGACAAATGAGAGAAGATGCAAAACAGAATGGAAAAGAACCATGGTTAAAGTTAAAAAGAGGACATCAAAGTAGGAAGACAAGGAGCTTGAGACTGAATCAGCAGAAAAGAGGACAAAATGCTTTGTGTCTAATTTTTGAAAAGTCATTAAATGAATTTCTGAGCGGAACCCACACTTTTTACTGCCCGTTGGGTAAAACTGAATGCAAATAGCCAAATTCTGCCCCTGGCATATGCCTCACATGGGTTCATGAGGATGACAAATTCACCAAGCACAAATGTGCACGTTTTTGTGCATTTCATGTTTTTAAATCAGCCCCTTAATTTATCTCCTAAATACACACTTTCAAATATTCTGTCTTCCACGCAAAAAAATGGCAGCAGTTGGTACTAAACTCAGGTAAGAGCGTGCACACAAAGCTCACAGAGATCAAAAAGTTACTCAGTTGGTAATGTAGCTTGTGCAGAACACCAGAAACACTGGAAGTCTGTTTTTATAGAAAATGGCAGCAGTTGGTACTAAACTCAGGTAAGAGCGTGCACACAAAGCTCACAGAGATCAAAAAGTTACTCAATTACCCATTACATTGGTAATGTAGCTTGTGCAGAACCCCAGAAACATTGGAAGTCTGTTTTTATAGACATTATCTGAAGCAGCAAGTGCCACCAAACAGGGATTACTTCATCACAAGCATTTAGTTTTCCTTCTCAAGAAGAGGAGGCTACACAAAAGAAGCAGAGAAGGCTAAGAGGAAAAACTGGTTCCTTAACTGATCCAGGAAGGAGGAGGAAAAAGACAGTGACATGAAGGTGCCAATATTTCAGCAACCTGTGTGGAACTGATCCTACAGGAAGCAGGATAGGGTTTACACAGCAGGCAGGAAAGGAGGGAAGAGAAAGACGTTGTCCATGAAAAAAGGTACAAACTGGATTGCCTTTCTGTTTGAAAGGTATTTGAAATTCAAGCTCAGATCTGAGGGCTGAACCACTGCAGTTTGAGCTGCATCATCCTTTATTGTATCCAGCAGAATAAATGCTGCCCTTTGTGTCCCAAAGCAAGAGCTGGGGACTTCACATCAAAAAGTTACCCTTTAACAAACTCACTTTCTCATCCCATGCTGCTGGCATGGTTTTGTTATGCTTTTTAAAGTACCCCCATTGCAAACTATCATGCATTTATTAAAAGATGTACACGTGCAGCAGGATCATAGAAAATACTGTACAAAACTTTCCCAACTGTTGCTATAAAAGCACAGGATACAGTTGCAACATTGCCCCTCTTTTAAGAGCATATCCTGCATTTAATCAGAATATAGCTAAATTTGGCCTAAACCAGACCACATAGATAAAACAAGAAGGAAATAGTTTCAAACATCACTTTTTCAAGAAATTTGTCAAACCAAGAGTTTTCAAGTTTTTGTTCTCTGCTCTTTCTCCAGTGACACCTACAGCTCCAAGAGCAGTTACCTAAGGTGTTAACAAGTGAGCAGAGAAACCTCCCACACTTTTCCTTTTCTTTCTTTCAGAGCACAACACCGACCTGAAGTTTAGTCAGTTTTTAAATGAGAGTTACAAGCAATTCCAGTACAAGTAATTTAGGCAGCAGAGACACCTGCTCTCCAGCCCACTGTTCCATCCTTGCAGACTTTTTCATCTCATATCCATGCCAAAGGCAAGGCTCCTTGTCCTACTGCTGCTTGATGAAAAGCCAACACTCACAACTCTGGAAAAACAGTCTACAAGGAACAAAAAAGGAAGAGAAATCAAGTTGTCTGCAGCTGAAAGGGAGAGCAGAGAGATCCCAAATCATCTCCCTACAGCAGCCTGACCCAGACATCCTCTCCTTGCCCCCAGCTGTGCATTCCTGTGGCCTCCCTGCTTCCACCACAACACGGAGTCAGTCAGAACAAGAGGCTGATCCAGCAGAATATTACTTCAGCAAAAGCAAATCCACAAATGGGTTAAAAAGAAATTATTTTAAAAACAGAATCAGCTTTCTGACCTGTGTGTAAGTGTTGGTACCAGCATTGCAGAGGGGTGGGGTTGCACAGCTGAAGGTCCGGGCTGGGGTGGGATGAGAAAACAAAAATCTTTCTCAGGGGGAGCCTGGCTTTAAATCAGCTTAAATTGATCTAGAAACCACACCCTCGGCAAGGAAGAAATTTAGGCAAATTCATGCGTGGTGAAGAGCAGGTTAGTGCTGCTCATCAGGAAGTACAAAAGATGCTGGAGAGTTTGATCTGAACTGGGCAGCCAAAATCCAGCTGCTGGGTGCTGGTGTTTCCATCCGTGGGGAGCACTGGGAATGCAGCTACAGGGGGGATTTCTGAGCAGCACCAGTGAGTGTGGCAAGTGCTTTCTTGTTACCTAAGGTGGATGCAGCTCCACAACCTCTCTGCCCCCTCCATCCTGCCAGAGCTTGAGCCATTCCTAAACATATGTTAGGTCTGAACTGAGGGTTTAGTGCTGGTTCCACCTCTATTTCAATAGTGCCATGAGTGAGTAATTTCTATGTGATGCCTCAGTTTCCCTGTTATTAAGAGGGGCACATGCATGCATACAAACACACTCTATCATTCATCATGATTCCCGTGTAGTTTTTTGACTGGCTACCTGCTGTTCACACCAAGATTTGAAACATAAAGAACTAAAAGAAGTGCTGAATATTAGTTTCCAAAGGAGTTGCAGGATCTGGTGCTGGATACTACCAGATGTTGCTTGTCTGAAAATATAACAGAACAATCTATCAAAAACACCCTCAAAACCAATGACCTGCTTTAGTCTCCACCCCTCTTCTCTCTCCTTTGCCCAAGGAATTAATGTCAGCAAAAACTTAATGTATATATATATGATTTCTGGGGTTACCTCAGGCTTGATTCAGTGACCCACATACACCATCCTGGCTTCCCCTTCTTTCCAAGTAAGATTTGGAAAGCATTAGTTTACATCTGTCATCTGATATTACTATTATTATTAATTACTGTTGTAGCAGACAGCTACCTGGGCTAATTGGGACTGGAGCTGCTTTACTGTAGATGTTGCATCCACTGAGTTAAAAAAAGTCATTGCTTTAAGAAGCTGACAATCTGTTTCAAGGCAATATCCCAAAAATGGCATGTACCAGGAGCAGAAGGAGAAGGGAAGGCAAGGGTGTGGGGTAATGGAATGGCATTAACCACCCGTGTGCACAGGTTGATAGTTTCATTTCAAGTGAATGTTCCCGGTTTTACCATTCATAGAGAATATCTCCCCCTTCGGATTTCTAACGCTTCTCCATTAACTCTCCCCACTGCCAGCTGGAAAAAGTGAGCCGGGGCTCTGTGCACAGAGACACACATTCGTGTCTATGTAGGTGAATTTATAATCATCACGTTTTAAATTATTTAATGGAGTTTGTTTTGTCACGGGAAGTCTCTTCTAATCCGAACTTCTTAAAGAAAAAGAGAAAAGAGCAGGCAGGAAAAAGAAGCGTGTACTCGTGCTTGTGCAGACAGCCGATGTACTCGCATCTATAATGTCTGTGGGAGTTTGGGCCCCTTCCTTATACATAAACCGCCCTCTCTCCTGGGCTGTCTTCTCCTTAATGACGTTCACGGCAATTTAGGCGCTGGGGACCGGCTCAGCCTCTCGCCGAGCCCGCAGCCTCCACAAACATCCTGAAAAGCAACCTGAGCAGACGTCCCTCCTCGAGGCAGTTCCAGGGATTTTCTCTCCCGAGCGGCTTGCAGCGGGCGAGCGAGAGAGAGCGCTTGGGTTCAGCTGCCTGCTCCTCCCACCAGAGACACCCTCCCGCCGCTCCCCGCCGAGCCGCGCCGCTCACACGGCTCCGCCGCGGCGTGCGGGACGCGGGCAGAGCGCTCCGCTCCCGCTGCCGGGGAAAGCGCCTCGGGCCGCCGCCGCCGCCGCCCCGTCCATGGGCCGGTGCCGCTGACGCAGCCGCCGCCGCCGCGCCGCGATGCCGGTGGCGGGGCGCGGGCAGCCCGCCTCCTGGCTGCTGGTGCTGGGCGCCGCCGCGCCCGCCCTCTGGCTGCGCTGCGTGCTCGCCGACTTCACGGTGGACAACGAGGTGCACTCCAGCTTCATCCACCGGCGGCTGCGCGGCCCCGAGCGCCGCGAGATGCAGCGGGAGATCCTCTCCATCCTCGGCCTGCCGCACCGCCCGCGGCCGCACCTCCACGGCAAGCACAACTCGGCCCCCATGTTCATGCTGGACCTTTACAATGCCATGTCCGTGGAGGAGGGGGCGGCGGGGGCCGCCGCCGAGGACGGCGAGGGCTTCTCTTACCCCTACAAGCCCATCTTCAGCACCCAGGGGCCGCCTCTGGCCAGCCTGCAGGACAGCAACTTCCTCACCGAAGCTGACATGGTCATGAGCTTCGTCAATTTGGGTGAGTGCCGCTCTCGGCGGGGCTGGGTCCGGGGCAACCGGGCATGGAACCGTGCCAGGGAGAGGCTGGAGCGGGGACCTGGCCACCGACGGGAGGACAGGGGCTGGTGGCGCAGGTGGCCCCGGCTGGGAGCTGTTTCCCAGCGGGTCAGGTGGCTGACAGCCCACCTGGGCAAGGAAGGGCAGGTAGCGGCCCTCGGCTGCTTTGCCAGGCGGTAACTGAGTGGCATCGACGGGGAGAGGGCTCTGAGTTCCCCTCACAGCATTTGGACAGCCACGAGCTCTCCCCACGCTCCACGCTGAGGTCTTTGTCGTCTGCTCCCTTTGATAGTTGCTGCGCGTCAGAAGTGGGATTTGCAGGTAGGAGTTAAACAGGACGATTAGCAGGTCTGCTCCACATCCCACACCGCCGAGGAAGACGCCAAACCCCGGCAGGAGCAGGGCACGGGTCCCGCACAGCTCCCGGTGCCGGGCTGCGGCTCCTGCGGGATGCGGAGCCACCGGGGCCGCGGGGACGGATGGCTGGGACGGTTCCCTGCGGCATCCCAGCGCCGCGCTCCCTCGGCCGGAGGGGCTGAGCTGCTCGCACATGTTTTCCTAATGGCTTGGGAGGGATTCCACAGTAAATCCTTATTTACTCCTGCAGCTTTTCCTGTTGACCCCGGTTTATGCCGCTAACTCGCCTCTTTCCACAAGCACATGTGGATGGGTTTATGCAAACGATACGAGAGCTGGCACGCTTTGTATGCGGCTCACTAGGCCTCTCTAATTGGATGCCACGGCCCAATCTGATTTCTATTTGCTCGCTGTAGATTGCACACCCGTGTGGACTGACTGGGCCGGATTTGAGTGAAACATTGTCAGGGTGCACATTCTATTTTAAATGTATAATTATAGACCTGGCTCGCTCTATCCGTTTTTAGACCTCATCATGTGCGGCTCTCAAACCACACGCGTACAGATTGGGTGCCTGCAAGTTCACGGCAGAACCTGAATTGTATTTCCAAAACAAGATCAGCTCAGACTTTGTCCCAAACAAAGGGAAACGCAAAGTGCAAGAGGAGCACACCTCTGGCACATAACCTGCCAGGAATTACAGATCCCCGAGATCTCCAATAAATCCATTAACACCTTTATGGATGTCCCTGTTCTGGACACTTCCACTGTCTGGAACTTCAGAAGCAGCAAAGATGAAATCACCACCTAAACCACCACCTCTCTAATCCCAGCACTTTAACTAACTTGAAAAAAGCTCAGCAGCTGTAAAGGCTCTGTGACACACGTTAATAATTATTAGACACGGTAGCCATCCCGGCACAATTCTTGCATGATAAGGAGCCACGGGACGCTGTGGGAGAGCTCTAGTTTGCATGAGCTGCGCCTCCTTATTAACTGCCATAAGCTTCACAGTGGGAAGCTCGGAATTACATCTGGCCCGGGGGCTGTGCTCTGTGAGGGCTGGTGCTTTCCATTCGGAATTACAGTGTTTGTCTAGTCACTGCTGGATGCTTAAGCCGATGAGCAATGATACATTTAAAATCAAATATTTGAGCAGTCAAAAGTACCAATAGCAGTCAAATATTTGACTTTAAAGATAAGGGTGACCTTGCTAACACTGTTCTCCGTGGTTCTTGGGTCCTACACCGAGTGCAAGGAGAGTCCTGAGCAGAAGACAAAAGATGTTCAAATAACAATAGCGAAATTCACTCTTTGCTTTCCATTTCAGTAGAGAGGAAAGAACCTTATGAAACATGTAAGTACATAATGGGAGGGAGTTTAGCTCTGCTCCTCAGGTGTAGTAATTTACTGAATCATCAGTGAAACTGCAGCGCTCCCGTCACACAGTGCCAATGTAAGGAAGAGTCTCCTTGTCAGCTCATGTAAGAGTTATAAGAAAGAATTAATATTTAGGCCACTGATGGGTTTGAATACAAAGGAATGGAATCGATCCATAAATGTGAAATAAAAGTTACATTTTGGATATGTCTGTGTCTATGTGAGAGCTTTGTATGGAGCAGGTTTCACCTGTATAAGCCATAACCCCCCCATAATTGACACCCTGGTGCATTTTGGTGCCTGCAGTGGATTTATTCATTCATTTCAACCCACCAGGGTTTTTTGTTAGCTTAGAAATGCAAGAGTGTTCTTTCTGCAAACTCCTAAATGATTATTTTATTTAATTGCTGTCAGCATGGTCAGGGAGTAGTAAGAGCACAAGCAAAGCTACTAAAAGCACAAGCAAAGCTACAAAACCACTAAAAGTAGTTTTAAGGACAGGTGGAATTACGACCAGCAAGGCACTTTTTGGAGGTTTATCTGTGCTGTTTTGTTCCCTTGTCAACAGTGCATGCCAGGACGAGTTTAAAAAGGACAGAGATCTATAATAGCTTTCTTCATCGCTGTGCACACCTTTCATCCCATTATAGTCATTGCTCTTTCATCTTGATAGGACAAAGGCAGGCTTGTTTATGGAGGTTTTAATGAATTAGAGCAGCCACTCACTCCATATATAATCAAACACAACACCTGCTTTGAGACGTACAGTTTTCTATGACATTCAGGGAAAATTAGAAGATCTATTGTAGAACTGAATTTTTGTGGAGACTTTCTACAATGATCCCTTTTAAAGCAGAGCTGAATTCCTAAATGCAGACTGTAGTAAACTGTGTCCTACTTTTGTAAGAGATACTCTGTGAGCATTGCATTTCACAGGTAGGCTTTTATTACTATACCAGAGCCATCACAATGAGGAAGTGTCACAGCATAATAAAGTTTCATTTTAGAATGGAGGAAGTAAAAGCGAGTAAAGAAATAATACTTTGAAATTTCAGTCAATAAAAAACGGTAATTCCAGGCTTCCAAATGCTAATCTACAAAAGCACTTTTTTTTGCCTTATTCACATTCTTCATCCATCTAGTTGTACAATTTTAGAGGGAATAGTATTTTTTTAAAAACTACATTGCAAGATTTACTGGGCTACACAGTAAAAATCCCAACAACAAACCCCACACACATTGATTTCTATGGAGATACTGTTTATATTTAGTGCAGAAAATTTATGCTGGGTATTGGTAGGGAGGAACCAGAATACAGGTGCTCCGTTTTAGGGAGCTTTGTACTAAGCAAAGTTTTACTTACTGTAAAATCCTGACAACTAATTAGATTTAGATTTATAACCAGTTAATTTACAGGCTACATTTTGTCTTAGCTTACACCTGTGCTAAGATGAATGGGGAATGGAGTTGTGTCAAGAATGAAGTTATTTGTAAATTAAAAGAGAATTTAGCCACAGTGGTCTGACTAAGTTAGCCAGTTAATTACTGGCTAATTTTGTAAAATTTATTACTGTAATTTTAGCATTTGGAATTTAATTTCAGATCCTGTCCAATACAGTTTACAAACTGATCCATTTTAGGAACTGAAAAAATGCAAAGCATTTTCTGCACAAGTTTAATTTCAAGTTTATAAACAGCAGCTGAGGAGTAAACATCCTCTAGATGACTTAGGCCTTCTCTTCTAAAAATAATTGCGTTGTCCTTATGCTGGTAAACTTGCCTTGGTAAACAGACTTGCTTAGAATATTTTTAAAAGAGTCGGCACAAGTGATACGCAATTTGTTAATTTGTCTCGTGGTTGATTATAAAATGAACAACGTTGTTTAATCCTGGCAAAAAAGAAGTGGGGGGGGGAATTAGTCATTCTTGGAAGGAGCACTTGAAAGTGGCTTTTGTTAATATAAATCAAGAAGCTGAAGAGCCCCCAAGTTTCCTTTTATTTCATACCATCTGGCTATCCTTTTTGTTGACAAGTGTTTGGCATAGAGAACCATCTCTTTCCCCTTTAATAACAGGCTTTAACACTGTAGGGTATTAGAAAAAGATTCTATAACAGTTAAAAAATTTCCTTCGGGGAATACTTTATAAAGTGAGCACGGGCTGCAGGCATTTGCAGCTGTAACCTGGCTTGTGTTAAAATTTGGAAGGGGCTGCCTTGCATTCCAGCTCACTACAGGCCTTCATTGGTGTACAGCCAAAGGTTAATATAGATGTCACACAGTTTTTCTTTGGAGAGCCTCAGATATAAGAGTACGAGTACAGCTGTGTTTTTAGTAACCCTTTCATAATCACTTCTTTTAAACCTCATTTTCCTGCTTGTATAAATCAAAGATTTTCAAGGATATTTGACCTGGATTTGAACTTATTTGATCTTCACATATTTCCCACTTGAAACAAAGCAGATTAAAAGTTAGCCCTGGATGCCTGGTCCCGATCACATGGTGTGTCCATACATTAGGCCAAGCCCTCGGCTCTTTTTCCTTCTCTTCCACCTAACGCTGTTAAAAGCTCTCAAGCCTGGACAGGTACATCCCATAATTGTTTTGGGCAGCGTGGATATGTGCAGCCCTAGGTGGTGTAACACTGGCTAAGGCAGAAAGCTCGCAGCCAAGTCAGGGTATGAAGGACCATGCAGCAAGTGACCAGCAGGTATTCCCTGAATGTGCAGACCCACCCCAGAGAGAATTTAATTATTTTCTAATTTCCAGATGTAAGAGAACAGAGCAGGACAGGAACTATTTACCTCTGCCACGGGGGTGTGCTGGTAGCAGAGAAAGGAGCAGCCAAGGACAGATGTCCTTATGCAAGGAAAAAGGACCTGGAAATTGTCCCCAGGTCTGAAATTAAATTCCAAATGTTAAAATTGACCCGCCCCCAGAGCAGGGTCTTTTCTCTGTTCCCACACAGGCTGTCCTGGGGGGGTGAATCCCCCTCTGTGAGCTGCACTTTAGAAACCAAAACACAACAGCCCTTAAAGGGCTTTGAAGGAGACAAGCCTTGATGGCCAGGTCTTGTGATGCTGGAAACAGGAGCTGGGCACCAGTGGAGCGTGCAGGACCTGCTCCCAGTGCCCCCAGTTGTGCCATGCCTGTGTCTCTGTGTGTGTCCCAGCACTCCCCCTGCAAAGGAGCTTTAATGGCCTCTGGACAGGCAGCACAAAACCAG